AATTAAAGTTTTCTAAAACAGCAATATTTTCTTACAACGCTTGGCCATTTGAGTCAAGAATGCAACTTTAAGGCTTTATGCAAATATTTTCATTTTCAGTCAGAGGACAGAGAAAGATGCAAAAGAGAAATTTGTATTCCTGCCGTTAGGAACTTTCTGCCCTGTTCTTTATGCTGCATGCAGTCTCTTGGGATCTTTGGGCAGTTTAGGAGACAGTCAATAATTTCTTTAGTTTCTCTTTACTGTAAACTAAATGGCTTAAGCTGCCATGGACATGTTGGTGCCTCAGTTCAAACCTGATGTAGAGAGATATGTTTGGAAACAATCTTTTATATCACAATTTTATATTTCTTATACTATCTTCCCATTCTGATCCCTACCTGTTCATTTTCCTTGAAACAAAACAAGGTAAGAGAATCTCTCCAAGATGGCTATGTATTCTGTGAAATGACCTCATCCTTTGATTCCAATGGAATATTCAGGGCTATATTTGGAAAATTTACTAAGATTATACCTATCAGTAATAATGGTTTTCAAGCACAGAAACATGGAAAACAGCTTAAAAAGTTGTTAGGATAGCAGAGAGAACAAACAGAACAATGGAAAACCCTAAAAATTGGTGGTAATGAAAAGCTATTTTATTTCTGAAGAGACATCTTATACTTGGCAAAGACTAGGCAGATCTAAGTGTTTTTGTCCCTTTAGTTCCATTAAAATACGAAGATTCCACATGACTAATATTTGATCTCATCTCACCTCTGCAGCCTTGACATATTGATAACCGCAGTGATGGGAGTCAGCGGGGTGGAAGCCCATGTTCCTACCTTTCCTGACTGTAGCTTTTCACCCTCTTCCACTTTCTTTGTTGTGCTAGTTCCCTGACTTAACATAAACTTTGCTTTTTTTTCTTTTCATCTGTGTGTGTGTGTGTGTGTGTGTGTGTGTGTGTGTGTGTGTAGATGTGTGTGATCTGTGGGCACATGGAGTTCAGAGACAATGTTGGGGATTGGTTCCCTCCTTCCACCATGTGGGCTCCAGGAATAGAATGTGGTTGTCAGGTGGGGCAAGCACTCACCCACCGGTCCGTCTTTCTGGCTGCATTAAAGAACTTTTCATGCTAAATGCTTTATCCTAAGGAAATGTAAAAAGCAGTGTTACTGTAATCTTTCTGTAGTTATTGCTTCTCTTGGACTTTTTTAGATGTTGATTAAATGAGAAAAATATAGAGATTAAAGTTAGAGACAGAGGGCAAAACAAAGTGGGAATGAAAGACTAATGAAAATAAAGAAGTAAGCCAGGTATGGTGGGAGGCAGAGGCAGGTGAATCTCTGTGAGGTCAAGGCCAGCCTGGTCCACATAGCAAGTTCTAGGTCAGCTGGGACTACAGAGAGATCCTGTCTCAAAAAGACCAAAAAAAAAAAGTAGTTTGTGGGGAGCCGCCTGCCGTCCCTGCAGACGCCATTACAAGATGGCGCTCACATCCGGTTCATGCTGAGCAGTAAATAAGTCAGTACGCATGCCCGAAGTAATTTTCCACCTTCTAGTCTCTGCCTACCTCGTGGCGTGATATGGGCTGATGAGTTTGCGACCAATCAAGAGTTGCCACGTCCAAGACGGGCTTACTAACCTATATAAGGGCTGGGTTTCCGACATTCGGGGTCTTCGCCCTGTAAGCTTATGCTCTCCCTCTCAAGATGCATTAAAGCTTTTCTGCAGAAGGATCCTGAGTGTGCCGCGTCGTTCTTGCTGGCGAGACGATAGCGCAGGACAGTAGTTCAGACCTCAAAATGGATTATTGACCAAGAATTTTAGGAATGAAAGACATTAAAGAAATCACAGCTCCATTTAGTAAACATTTTGAATAGCTGTTTCTCATTTTTTCTGTATTTGCTTCATTTGTTGTGTGCCAGTACGTACTATAGATCTCTGTAGTATCTGTGACTTTCCCTTTAAGAAAGAGGATGTGTGTACAGTGAGAACCTATAGTTCTTTTTGTTTGGTTGGTTGGGGTTTTTTTTTGTTATTTTTTGTTGTTTTAAGGGGGTTATTTTGTTTTGGTGTGTGAGTGTGGTATTTGTATATGTGTGCACATGTCTGTGTGGGGTGTGGGTGCAGGTGTGTGTGCTCACTCATGCACACGTGGTGGCCAGAGGAGGGTGCTGGTGTCTTCCTCCTTTGCTCTCTGCCTTACTCCCTTGAGGCAGGGCCTCTCACTGAACCTGGAATTTACCATTCTGGCTAGACTGGCTGGGCAGCGAGCTTCAGAGTCTGTCTGTCTCTGCCCCAGCATTGTATGTGGGTGCTGGACCACGCTCAGGATCTTATGCTTGCACAACAAGCACTCTTACCCACTGAACCATCTCCCCAGCCCCTGAATTTTTAGCTCTATCATTGATAACTGAAAGTTTTGAGTCCTTAACATAAGACTTTTCTGAGTTTTATTTTACAGTTTTCTCCATTTGGTTTTTTGTGTGTGTGTGTGTCTTTTTGAGACAAGGTCTCCCTGTAGCCCCAGCTGTCCTGGAACTCACTATGAAGACCAGGCTGGCCTTGAACTCACAGAGATCCACCTACCTCTGCCTCCCGAGTGCTGGGATTAAAGGCGTGCACCACCACGCCCGGCTCTGATTTTGGGCTTTTGAAAGGTCTTTTATATTAGATCAGTGTCAGAAACAGAAGTAAGGAATCTTGATTTTTTTTAAAAAATATTTTATTTATTATTTTTATTTTATGTGTATGAGTACTGTGCCTCCATGTAAATAAGTGCCCTGTGTTGTGCAATGGTGGTTGAGGACAGAAGAGGTTGTTGGATCTCCTGGAACTGGAGTTATGGATAGTTGTTAGCTGCCATGTCGGTGCTGGGATTCGAACCCGAGTCTTTTGCAAGAAATCAGTGTTCTTAACCACTGAGCCATCTCTCCAGTCCAGAATCTTGATTTTTAAAGGGCATAATATTGAAATATCTTAGTACACTGAACAAGAATGTATCAGCCTGTGGCCTGCAGGCTGCATGCACTGCACCCCAGGATCCTTATTTAAAACATGAGATTGTTTTGTGATTTTTTTTTAAATAACTCAACTGTGCAGTTCTTGAACATGAACTTTGTTGATGATGGCATCATGTTGTAATGTCAAAACATCAGACATGCCTGACAACTCATCAGTGCGTCTGAAGCGCTTTTGGGGACAATGGTGGTTACATGGGGACAGTGGGAATTCTTAGAGTTGAGTGTGCACTGCATCCTTCTCACTAAGCTCTGATGGCCCTAGTATTTGGTAAGTTTAAAAATGTCTCTTGAACCTAGGTGATTCTATTGTGAGAGACTGAAGCCAGCTTTTAGCTCCAGAATTACTTTGAAATAGTTCTAGCATTTCTATGCTAATAACATGATTTAGAAAGGATGTCAAAAGACATGGATGTTACCCCTTAATTAAGTATATCACCTCTACTGGAGTTTCAAACTTCTAGGTCTTATTCTATTCTTATCTGCAATTATTAAAGTACTAACTGGCCCTGAAGTATCATGTTTTTATGCTAAGTAAATGTAGTAGAATTCATGATCATGTTCTTGTTTGCACTGTCAACTTCTGTGTGATATTAGAGATTGGGAAGTATGTTTTCTAATTTCTGCCTTCTCAGCACTAAAGTACTATCTCATTCTTCCCCCAGTTTTTGAAGTGTTATTTCAATACCCTTGGTCATGCACATTGTACATCTTTATTCTTTCTCTATGGAGGTCTTTCTTAAAATGGTCGATGAGAACTGCACTAAGTGTTGTAGGTGTGGGCAGATGTGCGGTGATCTTATAGAAACCTAAGATCCTATTTCTATTTCGTTCTAGCTGCTGTTTTTAAATGCCATATTCCTAGGACTTACTAGCCATAATATTTCAAAATGTCTTTTAAGCCAACCCTTTGCCTCTGGAATAGTCTGTTCCTAGACTCTTTACTATTCAATATCTTCTGGGACAGAGATTTCACAACCTGCCTTTCACCTTGAGGAAGTTCTTATAACTAACATAAATCTTGCTTTCTGCAATTTAAGTTGAATTTATATCATTTTTCTTTTCTCTGTAGAGAAGAGAACAGCCCCAAACCAGAGGTGATGCTTTCTCATGAGGCCCAGGAATGAATGCTGTGGAAAATTGGTTTTGGTCCAGCATCAGTTTTAGTTTTTATATATCAAACTCTCTGACTTTCATTCTGATATTCATGTCCTAAGAGGTGCTATTTAAGTACAAATGAAATAATAGTTACATATCTGATATCAGTGCTTATTATATCCTTTGCTCTTTGGAATCACATGAGGTACTCAAATTAAAAAGTGAGTTCTTATGGGGAGTAAGAAGGAGAAGATTGGTTTCTGATGGTGCTGGTTAAGTAGAAAGGGCTGCACAGCTCTCAGACCGGTCTTCAGTGGTCTGGCCCAGGCTACTTTCCTGTCTGGCTGCTAAAGCCTCTCAAGTGAGAATCCCTCCTCTGCAAAGTACCTCCAATTTGAAAACTGACTTCCAGAAATGTACTTGGAGAAGTTAAGAACATCTTTATTTTACTTAAACAATACAGTCATAGGTCTGGGGTTTTGGCTGATTTTGTAAATGTTCTTATTTTTTTAGTAGTCATATTGTGTGGTTATTTGTGCACTATAACCTGTGAGAATAGAACCTGTTCCTTAAAACAAGCTGTCTGGAAGGAGGTTTCAATAGTTGTAAAACCTAGAACCTAGGCTGAGAATGGTGCTAAGTACAGTGATGAGAAAGAAAAGGAATCCTCCTGCCAGGAGCCCATAGTCCTGCTGGGGAGTGAGAATGTAACAGGACAGTGTGGATCATGGATATCATGGTCCATGTACAGAAAATGTTTAATGGAGATTTTAGTTTCATCTTCTAGATTAATACAGAAAAAGACTCCTATATACTGTGCATGCCTATTCAGTTAACTGATGTGCTAAAATGTATACTCATTTGCTCCATTCTATTTTCTGTATTTTTACTTTGAAGGTTCAGCAGTTTTCTGAAAAATCCTTCCTCTTACAGCTTTTGAAAACTCGTGAAAATGCTTTAGAGAGACAGTGTGGTGAAATTATAAACCAAAGGGACATGCTTCTCCAAACCTTTGTAAGTCTTTAGCCACTTATAAAAATTCAATTCAATCGCTATGTCAAAGGTATTTAAATACATTTAGGTGTATTTTGATAAATTATCAGCAGATTTAGTTAAATAAAGAAAAGTATTAAGTGCTATTTAAAACCACGGGGCTAGAGAGATAGCTCAGTGGTTAAGAGCACTTGCTGCTCTTGCAGAGGACGTGAGTTCAGTTTCTGGCACCCATGGCATGTAGTTCACAGCCACCTGTATGTAACTCCAACTCCAGGGGATCTGATGCTCTCTACTGGGCCCCACATTTATGAATGTGACATAAACACACAAATACACATAAATAAAACATTGAAAAAAACGCAATTGGAAGAATAATGTAGTTTGAAAGAGGTTGGCAAGGGTGTAATGAAGAAGTTATTTGCACTTGTAATAAGTCTAAAAGAAAGAATGCCACTGCTTTGAATTACTTGGGCTTTGAGACCTAGTTTTAATGCTTTTGAAAGTCAGAGATATTTATACCTTTAGGCATATTTATGGGTGTGAGTGAAATGATGGATGTTGCTTACATTTTGTCTTAAGTCAAAGCCAGTAAGCTGAGCAATAGTTTTGAGTTCAGGCCAACTTGGAGGTGCAACTAGTGATTAGTTGACATTTTAAAGAAAATATATTTGGGCTAGTAAGATGGCTCAGCAAGTAAAGGTGCTTGCCACCAAACCTGAAGACCTTAGTTTAATTCCTAGAGCCCACATTGTGGAAAGAAAGACCTGCTCCTTCAAGTTGTCCTCTGACCATCACATGTATACCATGGCACACATGTGCACATACACGTTCACTATAAATAAATAAATAAATAAATAAATAAATAAATAAATAAATAAATTTAATAATAATAAATATATAATGACATGACAGTTTCTCCCCACTCTAAATATGACTCCTAATTAATTGGCATGTCAGCAAAAATATAGATGATAACATTTTTACACTGTCAAAAAGTTTACATTTCGAATTGGTGTAGCGGCTGGGATCTCAGCAGATTAGACCACTAGAGAGTGCCGGGTTCTGGCCTCCCTCTGGCATAGGGGCTGAGAAAGCAGGGGACTGCCTGAGAGCGCCTAGATCCTGCCTTCTCATGGTGGGGTCCAAACCTTAGAAGGAAGCCTGAGTGTACCTGACTGGAACCTGAATTGGGCTTCTGTGGATGCTTCTGAATAGCTGATCTGAAGCCATCAGTTCCCTCCAAAATAAATCCTGACAGAACCTGAAACCTGTAGCAACCAGCTTTACATTACCAATAAGGAAAGGACTTATACACCCTGATAATACAAACAGAAGCATACTTCAACTTAATTATCATATCAGAATTATGAACAACAAAGATATTCACGTGCCAAAATCACAATGAAAGAATAATAAAATGGAAAGCTAAAACACTATATCCCCACCAAACTCCACCAGTCCCATAGAAGAGTTCTACAAGGAGAACCTCTTAGAGATAACCCAGGACACTGAATTTAAAAGAACAATCATGAACGCGATCAAGGAATTCAATGAATTTAAAGAACACACGAACAAACAAAGAACTAAAAGAAGACAGGGATAAACTTCTGAATGAATTCACAAAAGAGATAGAAGCATTGAAGAAAACTCAGGCAGAAATGAAAAAGGAAGTGCAAAACTCAATAAGCCAACATGAAACAACAGGGGAAAGCCTCACCACTAGAATGAATGAAATGGAAAACAGAATATGAGCACTGGAGGATAAAGTTGAAGAGTTAGACCACTCAAGCAAAGATTATGGAAAATTTTAAAAAGCACACAGGAAAGGAATATGCAAGAGATGTGGGACACCATGAAAAGACCAATCTATGGATCATAGAAATAGAGGAAGGAGAAGCATTTCAGGTTAATGGTGTTGACCAGATTGACAGGATTGTAGAAGAGAATTTCCCGAAATTAAGGAAAGACATCCCCATACAAATACAGGAAGCACATAAAACACCAAATAGACAGGATCAGAAAAGAAACTCCCCACAACAAATCATAGTAAAAACACTAAATGTACAGGACAAAGAGAGAATACTAAAAGCAGCAAAAGAAAAACAACAAGTCACATACAAAGGAAATCCCATCAGAATTTACAGCTGACTTATCAATGCAAACTATGAAAGACAGAAGAGCCTGGACCAAGGTATTTCCAGTTCTACATCTATGACAATAGATGCTAGCCCAGAATACTTTACACAGTGAAAATGTCTATTATAGTTGAGGGGGGAAGAAAATCTTCCATGACATGAATAGCCTAAGAGAACACATGTCCACAAAATCAGCCCTTCAAAGAATACTTGAAGCAATACAGAGAGTGGAGAGAGAAAAAACTAAACCCCAGGGGCAATGAAAGAAAATAAATAAAGGTATAATTGAGGAAACACAAAATTAGAGAACACAAACATCAATCAAAATGACAGCAACCAATACATATCTTTCAATAATAACCTTAAATATCAATGAGCTGAACTACCCATTCAAAAGACACAGGCTAAGTGAATGGATTAAGAAACAAAATCCATCTCTTTGCTCTCTGCAAGAAACCCATCTCACCTTCAAGGACAGACACTACCTTAAGGTAAAAGGATGGAAAAGAATATTCTAAGCAAATGGCACTAAGAAACAAGCAGGGGTTGCAATTCTAATATCTGACAAAATAGGCTTCAAAGTAAAACTAATCAGAAGGGATGGGGGTCACTTCATTCTTGTTAAAGGAACAATAAACCAAGAAGATATTACAATCCTTACCACATATATACCAAACTCTGGTGCACCCAAATTCATAAAAACAACACTACAGGACTTTAAGAGACAGATTAACCCCAACTTGGTAATAGCAGGGACTTCAATACCCCACTGTATTGAACTAGAAACACTAGCAACACTAGAAACCTCCAGGACATTTCAAAAGCAGTATTAAGAGGGACGTTTATAGCATAACAGACATCTTTCGAATATTCCACCCAATCACCAAAGAATACGCTTTCTACTCAGCACCCCATGGAACTTTTTCAAAAATTGACCACATACTGGGTCACAAAACAAACCTCAATAAATACAAAAAAATTAATAATTCCATGCATTCTATCAGACAACAATGTGATAAAGCTTAGTCAACATTAGACAAAGCCCTAGTTGTTGGGTCTGAGGTTTGGGAATGATTGGAGACCATCCAGTAGAATTCAAAATTTAGAAAATTTTATTGAAAAGCATTCCAATTCTTGAATGACCAGTCGGGCACAGACTCCAAGAGCCAAAGAATGGAGTCTGGCCCGACTAACAATGAGCAGGGGTTTTTATTGGGTACTCTTGAAAAAGCCCACACAAACTGGGCGACCTTTGAATTGTTAGGATAACACTGAATTCCTTGTACAGGGGGAAATTTCATTGGTTATAGTCATGGTCAGCCACCTGGAATGTCTCAATTTTTCCTTTTACGGTAGGGTGCCCCTATCGGCCTCTGGATGCCCTTTTATGGTCAGGATAAGCAAGGTATGTCCAGGCTTGCCTAATCTTAGCCCACAGTATGGGGCAAAGGAGACTTACAGTTTCTAGGAACAGGGGCTTAAGACTAACAAGATGGAGGCTGCTAAAAAATGGAGCCAGTGTGACCTGGATCCTTCACTAGTCACCTCACGAACTCATGGCAATTAAACAGCACACTCCTAAACAATGAGTGGGTCAAAGGAGAAATTAAGAAATAAATAAAAGAATTCCTGGAATTCAATGAAAAGGACAGTACAACACAACACAACCTCTGGGATACTTTAAAAGCAGCCCTAAGAGGGAAGTTTATAGCTTTAAGTGCCTACATTAAAAAATTAGAAAGAGCCCAAATGAATGACCTAACACTGAAACTCAAAACATTGGAAAGACAAGAACAAATGAAACCCAAACCCAGCAGAAGAGAAGAAATAATAAAAATCAGAGCAGAAATTAATGAAACACAAACAAAGAAAACAAAACAAAGAATCAATGAATCTAAAGGCTGGTTCTTTGAAAAGCTAAACAAGATAGACATATCCTTAGTCCAGTTAACCGAAAGAAAGAAAGAGCAAATCCAAATCAACAAAATCAGAGATGAAAGGGGAAACATCCCAACAGACACCCAAAAGATCCAGATCATTATAAGGGAATATTATAAAAACTTATGCACTCCTAAATTTGAAAATCTAAAAGAAATATAGAGATTCTGAACTACAGGGCTGGAATGGGTGCAAAGGGCTCTCCTCACCACCTCCCTTCCCAAGCTATATTCACCATGGCCTGGAAGGATTGGGGGCCCATCATGTGGTCTGCAGATTTGCTGTCTAGCTTCATGGGCCCCCACTAGTCCAGGCTCCAGTCTTTGCATTTGGAAGTCTTTCTGGAGACTGTCTTTGAAGGTGCTCTGGATAGGAGGGTCTTGATCCTTCTGTTGCTTTGGCCCAGGTGGCACCTGTGGCTGCTGTTGTGCTGGCAGAGGAGGCCCTTTTGACCCTTGATGTGGCTGGGACTTTTTCTCAGGATAGTGTTTCTTCTCTTGGTGTTTTTTCAGATCCTAGTAAGAAACCCCCAAAAGTGACATCCTCTCTCCTCACCCATCTGCCAGAGAGGCTCTGGGTAGTGGAACAAGTGAATAGACAGGAGCCATCTAGGTGGCCAGCAGCATCTCTGTTCCCTGGAGTTAGAGGCTGAAGCTAGGGCCTAAGCTATTTCCCTTTCCCTAACAAGACACCCAAGAACCGATTCTGGGTGACAGTGTGGCTGGCCCAGGAGGTGGCACTATCTCAGCACCTACCTCCTAGGTTGAAACTGGCCATTGAAAGCACAATCGTTGGGCTGGAGAGATGGCTCAGTAGTTAAGAACACTTCTTGCAGAAGGACCGTGTTCAAATCCCAGCACCCACATGGCAGCTAACAACTGTCTGTAATTCCAGTTCCAGGGGATCCGACAGTCTCTTCTGTCCTCTGTGGGCACTGCACACCATGGTACACTTACCTACATGCAGGCAATACACACATACATATAAAATAATAAATAAAATATTTTTTTAAAAAATCAGGAAGCAGACAAGAATGTCCACTATCTCCACTCCTTTTCAACATAGTGCTTGGAACTCTTGCTAGAGCAATAAGACAGGAGAAGGAAATTAAAGGAGTAATAATAACTAGAAAAGAAGAGGTCAAATTATCCCTTTTTGCAGACAATATATTATATCTAAGAGATACCAAAAATTACACCAGAAAACTTCTAGAAATTATTAACACGTTCAGTAATGTGGCAGGTTACAAAATCAGTCTACAAAAATCGGTAGCCTTTCTATATACCAATAACAAGCAACTGGAAAAAGAGTACAGGGAAATGCTCCCATTCACAATTGCTACAAAAAAGAAAAAAATCTTGGAATAAATCTGGCCAAAGACACCAAAGATTTCTACAATGAAAATTTTAAATCATTAAAGAAAGAGATTGAGGAAGACATTAGAAGATGGAAGGACCTCCCATGCTCATGGATTGGAAGAATTAATATTGTGAAAATGACCATCCTACCAAAAGCAATATATAGAATTCAATGCAATCCCAATCAAAATCCCCATGATATACTTCACAGAATTAGGAAAAAAAATCCCTAAATTTGTGTGGAAGCACAAAAGACTCTGATAGCCAAAGCAACCCTGAGCACAAAGAGCAATGCTGGGAAGGGGTTACTATACCAGATCTCAAAGTATACTACAGAGCTATAGTCGTAAAAGCAGCAGGGTACTGGCACAAAAAGAGACACATAGATCAATGGAACATCATTGAAGACCCAAACCAGAGTACATGCAGTTTCAGCCATCTGATGTTTGACAAAGATGCCAAGAACACACAATGGAGGAACGACAGCACCTTCAACAAATGGTGCTGGCAAAACTGGATCTCCACCTGTAGAAGAATGAAACTAGATCCTTATCTCTCACTTTGTTCAAAAGTCAACTCCAAATGGATCAAAGACCTCAATGTGAAACTGGAAACCCTGAAACTATTAGAAGAAAATATTGGCAGTAACTTACAAGATATAGGTGTAGGAAAGGATTTTCTAAATCAGACAGAAGTTGCTCAGGAATTAAGGTCAGCAATCAACAAGTGGGACCTCATTAAACTAAAAAGCTTCCGTACAGCAAAAGAAACAATCAAAAAAGTGAAGAGAAAACCCACAGAATGGAAAAAAACTTTACCAGTGACACATCTGACAGAGGTTTAACATTGAGAATATTTAAAGAATTCGAAAAACAAAGAATCAAGAAAGCAAATGACCCAAATAAAAGATGAGCTAAAGATCTAAACAGAGAGTTCTCAAAGGAAGAAATAAAGATGGCTCTGAAACATCTCAAAAAGTGTTCAACAATGTTAGTAATTAGGGGAATGCAAATTAAAACCACCCTAAGGGTGGAGAACTCTTAAAAAACTAAAAATGAACCTACCACATGACCCGGTTATACCACTCTGGCATATACCCAAAGGACTCATCCTATTATAGAGACACTTGTACAACCGTGTTTGTTGCTTCTCTTTACACAATAGCTAAGAGATTGAAGCAACCTAAGTGCCCCTCAACTAAGGAGTGGTTAACAAAAATGTGGTGTATTTACACAATGGAGTTCTATTCCACAGTAAAGAAAGATAAAACAATGAAATTTGCAGATAAATGGATGGATCTAGAAACTTATACTAAGTAACACAGACTCAGAAAAATAAATGACATATGTTCTGCCTCATATGTGGATCCTGGCACCAAATCCTTTTAAATTCCATGTCCTTTTAATAAGAGGATGCTGTACAGCAGTCTCTTCTGCATGAAATAACTACCATCATCATGACTTTAGCTGAGCCTGATCGCTAAACATCGTCACAATTGGATTGTTGATGGTTGTGCTCATTCATTAAAGGAGGGCCTAGCAGGGTCAGTGGACCCTCACCAGATTATCCAGCCACTCTTCCTAGCCAACTCTATGTACTTTGGCCCTAATCACACATGGCATCTTGGATTTGGGAAGTGCTAAAGTATACAATCTGGGGAAGGCTAGGAAGTGAAGGCATGACCCACTGGGTAAAGGCTTTGCAGTGTGCATACCCTCAGGTCATACATACACCTCAGAAACCCCTCAGTTATCTTGGTAAGTAAGCTCAGTAAATTCATTGGTTCCCCAGTAAAACTTTAACCAAACATTGTCTTGTTGCTAGAAACTTAAAAGGGAATAAGCATTGCTTAGTATCCCCAGGAAAAGAATTCTCACAACAGATGGAAAATTTATTTGTTAATGCTATTATGTCTCATAATTATTTTAAAAAAAAAAGAAAATGAGAATGTAAAAGATGTTAAAAGCCAGGCATGGTGGCACATGTCTTTAATTCTAGCACTTGGGAGGCAGAGGCAGGTGGATCTATGTGCGTTTGCGTCCATCTTGGTCTACAAAGCTAGTTCCAGGCCAGCTGAGGCTACAGGGAGACCCTGTCTCAAAAAGACCAAAAAAAAAAAGTGTTAAAAGAATATGGAAATGGAGATATTTTCCAAAATAGAAAAAAATGAGAACGCCTAAGCAAGTGATGAAGGTCTATATAGGTTTGTTATGATATATAAAGGGTGAGACAAAAATAATATACATGTAATCTTAAAATTTCTAAGGTCATAGTTTAGTCAATTAATTTAAGAAACAAAGTATATACTACTCAAGGTTTATCTGAGACTATTTGGTTTTTACCTAAGCTTTATCTGCATAGTACATGGTAATTCAAAGTACCAGACTGGTGGAAACTAACCTTGGATGTTTAACAGCCATACTTTGAAGCCTATACTAATGTGGTTAGAGGGACTTAAAGGACAGTTTTTGCCCCTTGCCCTCCAAGATCGACTATGTTCCAGGGGACTATGGAACATCTCTCAAAATGTCCTGTAACTATGGTGAGTCATCTGTCCTCTTGTTCGGGGAAGCCATGGAGATACCACGAGATGAACTTGAACCAGTGTCCAGTCTACAAAGAGGAGGGTCAACTCAGAGGAACCATCTCATCCATACTTATCTTCACATAGATGGAGCTGGTAAAAGAAAGGAGCCAGGGGCTCCCCCCAAGCCCATGTGACCCCTGAGGACCAGTTCCTCAAATGACCTTAAGTGTAAAAATAAACTAATTTATTTGGGTGAACTGTATGTGTGGTCTTAAACACCCAATAGGAAAGTACAACCCAAAGAGTAAAGTCATCAGTATACTTCTTTAAGGGTTCAAGGGATTACACTTCCCAGACATTAGGCTTAAGTCTATATAAAAAGTTATTTAGACAATTATTTCTCATTGATGATTTTGTTCCTAACCAGAAAGTGCTGCCCAATCTTGGTCTGCAATACTGTAGTGCCCACCTGTAGCTAAGGGAGACGACCCTTATTGTTCTAGAATGATGGATAAGTTTGTTTTCTCCCCCTATCTAGAAGCCTTTGAGAGGGAACTGACACTGATTCTAACCATTCCAAAAGCTATCAAAATACTTGAATGCAAATCCTGAATCCATCAGTCTAGAGCCCAGCCTTGGCAGACAAAAGAAAAATGAGGAGGAACCCAATAGAGGGATGCTTTTGGAAGCTCTGGTCGAGAAATTCCAATGAACTCTCATATGAACATTCGAAAATTGCCCTTTTCTGACTTTTTCTATTTCCCTATCTAGAACTTGTAATGCTGAAAAAAAAAAAAAAAAAGTTTAAGTGTGAGGCTGGGCTTAACGTCCACCTTTAATCCCAGCACTGGGGAGGCAGAGGCAAACAGATCTCTGTGACCAGGTCAGCCTGGTCTATATCGTGAGTACCAGACCAGCTGGGGCTACAGGGATTTTTTTGTAAAAAAAAAAAAAAAAAAAAAAAAAGTTTAGATTTTTGCGTTTTCCAAAGATTTTTGAAATTCTTAATTCTGTGTCATGTGGAAACTTCATTCAGAAAATATAAACTTATTTAGAACTTACTTTGAGATGATGCATTTTACCCTCAGTCAGCATTTTTAAAGTGTGGGTGTCAGTTTTTGTTTTTTAAAAAGTTTGTTTAATTTTATGTGTATGAGTGTATTGCCTGCATGTAAGTGCACCCGTGCCATGCAGTGCCGGCGGAGATCAGAAGAGGGCGTTGGATCCACTGGAAGTGTAGTTAGGGATGATTGTTAGTAGCCATGTGGGTGCTGAGAATCAAACCCAGGTCCTCTGCAAGAGCCATCCGTGTTCTTAGTCACTGAGCCATCTCTCCAGCCCCGTTTTTAAGCAGCAGTTCCTTTGGTATAGATTGTGATTTTTACATTTCATCATTATTCTTCTACCTAATTGTAATGACAAAAGTAATATATATGATTATGAAGTTAATTCACATGCCCAAGGATGATGATAAATGCTAGAATTTCTGCTTCACTAATTCTCCTAAACCTGCAATATGGCTTCTGTAGCAGTCTCGGCTGTTAAAAATAGTGTCGTTCTGGGAGAAGGGAGTGTTTGTGGTAATGCTGGGAAACATGACCAGTAATTCTAATCACTGAGGAAAAATGGTACAGCCAATGTCTGTACTTGATCACTTATTTCTGTCTTTTAGGAGGCTACAAAGAAAAAAGTGGCCAAGGAAGAGGAAACATTTCTTAAGGAAATTGCAGATTTCAATAATGAGTATGAAATAACAAAGAAAAGGGAGCTTTTGATGAGAGAAAATGTCAAGATGGAACTATCTGACTTGGAAAACGAAGCTGAAGTTTTGAGAAGGGGTATGAACACATGGTAGCCTCACTGTCAATCATGAAAATAAGGTTTGGTTTGCTTGTTTGCTTGGTCATCTGTTTGTTTTTGAGACACGGTCTCACTTGTAGCCCAAACTGACCTAGAACCTAATATGTAGCTCATGCCAACTTCAAACTTGCTGTGATCCTCCTGCCTTAGCCTTCCAATGGCTGAAATTAATAAAGCATATACTACCATGCCCAGTTACTAGAAGTCATTTAGAATGAATGACTTTTTTCAGAAAGTTAACTTTTTCATTAGGTAAATTTTATTCCATAGTTTTTACTTTTACCTAATGAATATATGTTATCCTGATGAATACATGTTTTTGTTGTGAACAGTCTCAGGCTCTTTGGAGCATGAGGTAGCTGAGCAGTGATGCTGCGGATTATGAGAACAGATGAGCCCCGAAGAGACTTGCAGACCTGGCAAGAAATGACAGCATCATTTTTTTCGAGTTTTTATTTATTTATATTTTTGATTGAATTTTTGTGTATTGCATACAGAACATCTTAATCATCTTTATACCCCTTCCCCATTGAACCCTTCCTATAGGCCCCCCCCCAGTGGAATTCATACATTCTGTCATTTGTGTTGAGGCCTATCATGACATAAATAATTTAAACAGACCCACAACAACCTATGAGATAGAGGCATTAATTGAAAATCTCCCAACTAGAAAGCGTCCAGGACCAGATGGGTACAGTGCAGAATGCTACCAGATCGTCAAAGAAGAACTAATACAGTACTCCTCAAATCATCTGTAAAATAGAAAAGGAAGGAATGCTCCCAAATTGTTTCAATGAAGCCAGTATTACTCTTGATACCAAAACCAGACAAAGACCCAAGAAAAAAAGGAATTTATAGGCCAATCTCTCTTATGAACATAGTTGCAAAACTCCTCCATAAAATACTGGCTAACTGAATGCAAGAACATACCAAAAAGATGATCCACCATAATCAAGTTGGCTTCATCCCTAAGATGCAGGAATGATTCAATATATGTAAGTCAATAAATGTAGTCCCCCACAGAAACAGACTGAAGGATAGAAACTACATGATCTTCTCTTAGATACAGAAAAAGGCCTTTGACAAAATCAACATCTATTCATAATAAAAGTCATGGAGAATCTAGGAATAGGGGGGCATATCTCAAAGCTTTATCTTTACTGGCTGGCTTTCATAGTCCTGGATGGTACTGTACCTGCTACAGGAAGAAGAAAATTAATCATTAACCTTGCTTTACCCATCCATGAATCCTGTGTACCTTAACAACACCTGGCCTGGCAAATTATGCCCTCTGGTGCAGTACTGGCATGAATATTATAGAAGTAGCTAATCACTTTCTAATTGGATTTATGTCCCATTTCATAAGACAGGGCCCATACCTGATATTGAAACCAGAAACATGTGGCTAGACAGGGCACAGGCCATAGGCGAGAGCCCAGTGCTATTATTCTGCTAAGTAGGTAATATTAAAGTGACTTGGAATGACTTATTATACCCATAAATTATTGTATTTCTCAACTCATCGGAGAAACTTCCTTATGCAGCAGATTAATGCAGAAACCCACACCTGACTAACATACAAAGAATACGAGACTGCAGAGTGGTTATCCCTGAATTGGACACTTACGTCAAACTTCTGCCTCCAAAGGCCCAGGAATCATGGCAGAAGAGGGAGCAGAAAGATTGAGGTAGTCAGAGGTGGTGGATGAACACACGGAAATGGTTTTCTAAACAGCTGGTCAGTTACTCATATGATTCACAGCAATGATAACAGCATGCATAAGTCCCAACAAGCTCAATACAGACAAAATCCCAGCATAGATGTATGTACATGTGTAAGAAACCCAAACCCTA